AATTGGTGCTGTGCTGTTCAGAGGACTCCCAAATCCCACTCCTGGCTGGCCCCAGCCACCACCCCTGCCCTCCCAGGAGTCCCCTCGCAGTCTGTTTTGAATGCAGGTAAGTGCAGGGTGCAAGCGGAGTGTCGGGGAGGATGAAAAATGGGCCTACCAGAACTTTGGGAAGGCCAGAAATGGATCCATTTCTGGCCTCCAGAGGCCTCTGGAGTCCGGGAAGGCCATATTCACCCGCCTGAAGGCTCAAGGAAAACCTCCAGAGCCCAGGGAAGGCAAAAACATTCCTCTCTCTGTGGTGCGGGAGGCGACTAGGCCATTCCCACCATGGCCACGCCCACCCAGCAACTGGGCAGAGAACCCCTTGCTAAAATTTTCAAAGCCCACCCCTGGCAATGTATAACCTGTGTTATAAATAAATGGCTATATTCTTTCTTTGAAACTGCAGATGCCCATACTTAAGACCCACATTGCATTCTATCCATCTAGGGTGGCAAGTATCTTCAGAAAGTTATGCAAAAGTTAGCAAAGCACTACTTGCTTGCTTCATTGTATTCATTGTCATTTAATCCTCAAACATTTTGCTGTGTTGAAAACTTCCAAATTGTATTTTCTAGGTGAAAGAGGCATTATTTTGGGATATTGTGTTGTTTATTTATGAGCTCTTGTGATTAAACATTTTGTGACAGGGGTCATTGTGGCTGATCAGAAAAAACCTTTTTCTGTCTTGGTGCTTTTCTGGAAACAATGCAAGAATTGTGTTTCAAGGCTATAATAGTCCCAGGTATGCTGCCCTTTCATTGAAGTATCAGATCTTTCCCAGGATGTGCCCTGGACGGAAATTGTGTTAGTTCTTGGGTTTTCCCCTTTTTGTTTTTTGTTTTTTACTGCATTGTATGTTATTGTATGCCACCCAGGCACTTATGTAAATGTAATTTATAAATAAATATAAAAGAAATAAAAGTTTTCCCTTACTAGCAAAGACTCACCAGTAATCAATTTTATGTTTGTTAATAACATGGAAGATTGATGATTAGGTTTAGGCTAACCAAAACGTCACATAACACTTAAGAAGGTTGCTAAATTTTAATAGTGGCCATAGTTAGCATAAACCATCTGGTGCCTTCCTTATATTATTTAGTTAATGCTTTTCTGTATAAGTTTGATTTATTGTTTTATTGTTTTTGAGATTGCTTTATAGTTATTACCTTTGATTGTTTTCTAGTGATCGTTTTCATTGTTGTTGTGAGCTACCCCGTGGAGATTCGCACCCTCACCACCGTCCAGACNAGGAAGGAAGGAAGGAAGGAAGGAAGGAAGGAAGGAAAGATAGCTAGCTTGTGAAATTGTCTCCCCCTTTTTTGCAAATAATGAAATATTATTTACAAATATTTCAGATAATCCTGATACATATCCAGAGTCACCAGACATTTCTGAACTCACCAGACGTTGTAGGAGTTTTCTTGGTGACTCATAAATATGTAATTCCTTCTGGATTTCTTGACAACTAGGGTCTGAGTTTGGCCTTCTTTTGTAAGCTGATGCTGCTGTGTCCTATGCCCCAAACAAAATAATTAATCACTAAATGGCTTTATTTCAAAGTGATTAATTAACAGTGATAGCTGAAAATCTGAGATAGAGAATTAATATAAACAGACACTTTTGCTTTAATTTCCTTTTAATATGTTACAATTGTTAAAAAAAAGTAAAGGTTTTTTTTTAAAGCTATGCTTTATCACTAAGGGAATATTTATCAATGGTACAGGCAGGATATTCTGCTAATATTGAGCATACTGTGGAAGAAGAGATGGGAACTTTTCGGAAAACAATGTTTCTCAACATTGGGGAGCTTAAAAAGTGTGGACTTTGAACTCTCAGGATTTTCCAGTCAGCATGCTTGGGATGCTACCCAGTTAACGATTTTGGCCCATCTCAGATAAGAAATAAAAATTGTTGAAAAGAGACCAAATATGCAGTCCTTGCATATTCTCATGCCACCTTAAGTATTGAATAAAACAAAAACCATAGATATCTAGAGTTATCATAAGAATTGAAGAAAGTCTGATCAAGTACATTGATCAAGTACAAACTCCTAAAACAAGCTAATAACAACTAAGTATGCTTAGTGGGAATATACGTGTAACTATTAGGAGAAAGAATGAAAAATGAAATCAAATTTCTTAGGAGAGGGAATTTCTGGACTTCTTAATATCTTGTCCAATTATATTCAATAACTGACTTGCAATTAAATTGCATATGTCTATAAAAGTCTATAAAATTAAACACTTACTTCATATTTAGTGCCAAAACTCTGATCCTTGATAGAGGTAGTATCCAAGGTATCAAGACCGGCTGGGATGGATTTGGAACGACTTCTGATTTTCAGTTTCTGATTCAAAATTTAGGCAACAAACTTTATGCACTTTTACATAAATTACAACAATTGTTGATCATAACAGCTGAAGAAATGCTTCTGTAAGCATTTGTAGTGTGTAGGATATATTTTAGACAGATTATGGTATTCGTCGTTGCTTGTTCCTGTTTATTTTACACATTTCCTTATTTTGTAAACCAATTTACAAATTATTTTTGACCCACAAAAATGGGCAGTGTACAGGAGTGGGCTGCGGGGGGTTCGTAGGGGTTCAGGATAACCTCTAGCTAAGATTCTGTGCTGTTCAGAGAATCTTAGCTAGAGGTTATCCTGAACCCCTACGAACCCCCCGCAGCCCACTCCTGTACACTGCCCATTTTTGTGGGTCAAAAATAATTTGTAAATTGGTGCTGTGCTGTTCAGAGAATCTTAGCTAGAGGTTATCCTGAACCCCTACGAACCCCCCGCAGCCCACTCCTGTACACTGCCC